TTGCAATCCTACTTCATGCTCCCAGAGTGCCAAGATTACAGGCATGCACCCCTATGCCTGGAAGGTCTTGAAATTTTAAATTCCAAGTTGCTCTCTTTACACCTTCTTTGTAGAGACAGTTCACAAATGGACTTTTTTCTCTTGAGAAAAAAATGGGTATTTTCTGGCAGGTTTTAGTTGCCTTTCTCCCTTGCTGAGATGAAAAACTCAACACCCAGTGTTAAAGAAGGAGAGGTTTACTTAGCTCACAGTTTGTGGAGGCTTCAGTCCATAATCAGCTGGCTGCAGGGCAGGGTGGCACATGACAGAAGGCCAACAGTTCACAACCCTGGAAGACAGCAAAAGCAACAAGAGCAAAAGGGGGAAGGAGAGACCGAGCAAGCCTCTTTCTGCTCTTTTTATCTTATCCAGACTGCTAGGATTAGGTCAGTGCCAGTCTAATCAGTGGAGTGGCCCAGCGCTCACCCTTAATCCCAGCACCCCCCAGCATTGTACTGCAGATCCATCATAAACTCTGCATTCAGCTGCCTCCAAACATGCTGCCCTCCATGGCCACATGAGGCTTTGTGGGCTATCCAGACACAAACCATAACATGGCATGAAGTCCTGACAACTGTGTGGAATTTTATTCTCCCTTTCCTTCTTTATTCGTCCTTCTCCTTTGGCTTGTATCTTCCTCTTCCTTTTTGTGTACTCCCATTATAATAATCAGTGTATATGAAGCATGAAATGTTTATTCTCAGGCCTGGCGTGGTGGCGCATGTCTGTAATCCCAGCACTCGGGAGGCTGAGGCAGGAAGATCGTTGGGAGTTCGAGACCAGCCTGGGCTACAAAGTGAACTCAAGGTCAGCCTGAACTGCATAGCAAGACCCTGTCTCAAAAAAAAAAACTGTTTAATCTCTACAAAATGAGATGTACCTTCACAATCACACAAAACTGCTAATAGTTGAAAATTCAAATAAAATTCAGTCTTTTCTCTGGTATTATGGCAGCTATACCGTGATTCTCTCTCAGTGCATTGTGATAAGAAGCAGACTCTCCAAGAGAGAGAATAAAACCTTAAATCAGTATAGAAGCCTATTTTGAAAAAGGATGTTTCTCTTTAAGTTAGAATAAAACAAAATAATGAGAACTAATTTGAACAGCAGTTTTCCTTTAGAACTATTATCTTTTAATGCAAAGGTATTAA